GATGCGCACTCGACCTGGGAGGCAGCTTCAGGATGATTCGGATCAGCCGCCCCGATGCACCGCCAGATGCCACCTGTTCCTGTGGAGTTGGGCCCCCCTCCTGAGCCAGCTGCGCCGCGCGTCTGCAATATAGTCGAAGAAGAGAAAATGCCATAAACATAAACTTTTGGCGCTCCGCGCGGACTTCTTGGATCCGCGCTGGTACCCCCCCGGCGGCGCCTCCAGCGCCGCCCCTGGCGTGCTTCGCGCGCCAGGGAGGGGGATCCGGCGCAGATCCAAGAAGTCCGCGCGGAGCCCACAAAGTTTATGTTTATGGCGTTCTCTCGTTTTCGGCTTGTAGAGCTGGGCCCTCCTCCGAGCCAGCTGCGCCGCGCGCCCGCTGTAATGAGGGCCACTGTGGGCTCAGTTTGGGAGAAGGAGGAGGAGGAGGAGGAGGAGGAGGAGGAGGAGGAGGAGGAGGTGGAGGAAGAGGAGGAGGAGGAGGAGGAGGAGGGGGTGGAGGGCGAGTAGGAGCCCGAGTCCGAGAGCCCTCCTCGCGCCTCTCTTCCATGACCAGGAGGACGCGGAGGGGAAGGTTGCTCGAGGAGGCAGAGGAGGGAGATTGGGCAGGGGACGAGCAGGAGGAGGGGCCCCGTGTTTCGGGCCGGTCCCCGGACAGAGGCCATGGTACACATCCGTGGCCGAAAAGGCTCGCCGCGGCCAGGAATCAGGAGGGGAAAACACACACAGACACAATGAATCGTCCATTCCCCAGAAAAAAAGGGAAAAGATGGGAAGTGGGGGGGAAGACAAAAAACCCGAAGATATGGGAAAAGATTGGGAATGCTGTTATTTGTGTCTATTTATTTCTGTGTCCCAGGGCCCCTACTGGGAAGGCCCCTCCGTCCTCCGCTTTTTTTCAGCGTTGTGGAACCAGCGCAGCGTGCCAGCGGGCCCCCCCCCCGAGCACGACCTAAGAGTTTGCCGCAGAGTGCAGCTGGTATTGTAAGTCGGGCCTGCCCCTGCACAGAAGGAGTATTCAAACATAGTAACAGGATTAAGTGCGGGATTAAGTACAGGATTAAGTAACAGGATATTAAGTCGGGCCTGTCCCTGTCCCCGTACAGGATTAAATACGGGGCGATTATTTGACGATCTGTGAACACTTTGGGGCATATGCTTCTTGATTATGTTCCCTTTGTCGTCCAAAACCGGCCTGCAGGGGGAGATGCCCGACCTAATGCTGGTATCGGTGTTTGGCAGGGGTATAATGGGGAGGTGCTGGCACTGCACAGAGCAGGCAACGTGCCGGCACCCCCGCCGCCCATGGTCCAGACTCGAGTGATCGCGGGGCGTCCGCACGTGATCCAGACTCTCGCGCAAAGTGCACTTCGTGATGTATGTTGCAAGGGATGTCCCGAGCTTGTCGCCAGTCGGGTGGGGGGGTCTAGTAATATAGAGCAGTGGTAGACCCCTCCCCGGAGGGGAAAACGGGGTGGAGGATGGAAGAGGAAACAACAGTTCCACCCGCTGCAGCTCAGAGGGCGCGTGAGATTCTTATCAACGATTACTCTGTGTTGGCCGGAAGTGCAGTAGAGGATGAGGGTACATGCTTCACGCTTCGCGTATCCCCTCTAGCCCATCCAGGAACGATGCTTAGGGGAGCTGCCCTCATCGGGGGAGCGCGGCATCATTTGGAGAGCTCGGGGAGCTTCTGTGAGACAGAGGGTTCTCAGGTGCTTGTCGGAGTCTCTTGGAATGTTTCTCGGGGTCTCTTGGAAGCCTCTTGGGGCCTGGCGGCTTTTTGGGCCCTCTTTGGGCGCATCTGGGGCGTCTTGGAAGTCTCTCGGGACGTATTGGGTGCCTCTTGGCGGTTCTCAGGGGGCCTCTGGGAACATCTTGGGAGCCTCCTGGGAGTTTCTTGGGGGTCGCTTTGGGGCCTCCTGGGCGCGTTTTGGGGCACTCCTAGGGGTTCTCTTCGGAGCGTTTCGGGCTGCCTTGGGGCCGTTCTGGAGGCGATCGATCAACGAATGAAGGGTCCCCCACTAGCCCCCCCCCCCCCGCCAGGAGACCAAAATGGGTCCGAACCTATGTAGAATCAATTGTTGCTGTTTCCTCGCTGATGCGACTTTGTACGCCCTAACGACCCGCAGGGCGCCCCGGCCAGACCCAGGGTGAGGGGGCAGGGGGAGGGGGGGTCACGACACGCTCCCTGCCTGCAAGCTGTCCATCTCACTCCCACCCGCCCTCCCAGCAGATAAGGGGCACCCGAGCCGCAGCATGTGCAGCGGTCATCTATGGATGGACAGCTTCTGGAAACCAACACAAACCCTACGTGCGCGACGCTGGGGCAAGATGCGCCACGCGTGCCAGGCGCGTCATGTGCGCCAGGCACCCCTGGGGCCCAAGCGTGCCAGGCACGCCTGGCGCGCCAGATGCGCCGCATGCTCCACATGCGCCATGTGCGCCGCTTGGTCCAGCCAGGTGCGCCCGTGCATGTGACAGCACACATAGGGAAACATGTTGGCCCCAACCATTCTTGTCAAACCATGCACAATCGCGGCGGGGAGGCCATCATAGTGTCTGGTGAGCTTGCACACAGGAGGCAATACGCCAGCACCCCCGCCGCCCTGATCAAAAACTAAATGGACAGTGATCGCGGGGTGCCCCGCATGATCCAGATTTGGCCGCGAAGTGCACGTCGCATTGTTTGTTGACATGGATGGAGGCCTTGCGCGCAACAGGCAATATAAGGGTACCCCCGCCGTCCCTGTTTAGAACAATACAACGTGCTCCTGAGCCCCCGGACATGACCCAACATTGTACCCAAAAGTGTAGTATGTTTTTGTTGGCTGGGATCGCGTGGGGGGGTCATTGGTCCTCGTTGGCTGCCGGTCGGCTTGGGGAGCAGGTGTTTATGATTGAGGAACAACGATAAACCCATCCCCAAGGGGGAAGAGGAAACGCCTTGAAACACCTACCCCCTAAAGGGATCGTGTGTTTATGCCAGGTTCGATGCGTGCTCGTGATCACTGCGCTCGTGCTCCGAGAGCTCCTCTTCGCAGCCAGCGCTGGGGTTCACTGAGGGAACCCAGCGGGGTCAACACGCCCCCCGCGAGGCGGCCTGTACAGGGTTTGGAACCGCTCGCGGCGGCGGCGGCGCCCGCTGCTCCCGCGCGAAGCCCCTTCGTGGTCGTTTCGGCTCCACCAGAGGGGGGGGGGGCGCGGGAGATTCAAGCAGTCGCGAAGGGTCTTGGCTCGCCGATAGGCCTACCGAAGAATGCTCTCTGAGAACCTTGTTGAAAAGTTTGCACGACATGTTCGAAGGACATTTCTGGCTGGGACCGTCCTGTTTTAACACATCGGGCTTACTACGTTCTAAGAACATCGTTGCTGTTCTTAGAACGTTTCTGGGTTCTAAGATTAAGTCGGGCGTGTCCCTCCACAGGGGGAAGACTCAAAAATAGTCAAACAAATAGTGTGGGGACGATTTTTTGACTCCAAAATCCCCCTGTAGGGGGGACACGCCCGACTGAATTCTAAGAACCGCGGCAGCCCCAGAGGAATGCCCGGACGGTCGGCTCCCGCTCGAGAGATGGGCGGGGCGGGGAGGCGTCCCCAGACGGGGTCAGGGCGAGGACAGATCCTCGGGGGCGGCAAAGAGGGGGGTGATGACTAGGGGGGGTGGATATCATGGCGTGGGCCATGATATTCCCCCAGATTTCATGGCGCCTCTTCTTATTTCATTACGTCCCTGGCCCCCCCGCTGGGCCGCGCACATGCCGCCGGTCATGATTTGCACCCCCCCCCTCTTGGACACCCCCCTCTTGGCCGCTCCCGAAAATCCTCGGGGGCCCCCAAACGGTGCGGTGACCACACCGTGCGGTGAGTCGGTGGGGATTCGGGGTCACCGCACGGTCTCGGGACTCGCGTCGTTCTCCGAGGGCGTCTCGGGCGACGGGGGCCTCCGAGGCCCCAAGACCGTGCGGTGACGGGCCGTGCGGTGAGGTCTTGGGGGATGTCGAGGTCACCGCACGGTCCGTCACCGCACCGTTTCGGGACTCCCAAAAATCCGTTCCAGAGCGCTCTTGGAAGGCTCTCGGAGCATCCCGAAGTGTTCTCTGAGAAGGCCTGCGGCGCCCGCTGCATGCAGCGCCGCCGGATCTCAGAGGTTCTCGATTTGTCCTCGCCCAGACTTGTCTTCGTCCTGGCTTCGTCTTGGGTCTACAGTCAAGCCGCATAGCAAGGATGAGCAACTTTCCAAGGCTGCCCGGTACCCTTTGCATCCTTCCCCGTCGGCCCACCCTTGCCCGTTTTCGCTGGCCGCGCCCCGCTCGCAAAGTGCCGGCATGGCCTTCCGAGGCCCGTGCACCCTCACCGTGCGTCCTTACCGTACGAGCTGACGGTACAGAGCATCGCTGTGGGTCCCGCCGGAGGGGCTACAGTCGGGGCCCTGAAGAAGGAACCCTTTCCGTTGGGTAGGGGCTCCGTGTTCCGTAAGTGTTTCACAGCTTGCCTCAGGTGCTCCTCCTGTCTTCGACCGGGACTCGAAGTTTTTAACTCCTGGAACCAAGGGGCCTCGCTCCTCATGTAGGGTTCCTTAGGTCAACGCCCCGACTGTACCTCTGCTGTCTGCTGATGCCTCCTCCGCCCGGGCTCTCATGCGCTGTGTGCTCCGCCCGGCAGGGGCCGCCTGCCAGCACCGCGCCTCGACGGTGAGCCCGGGGCGCCGTGGGCGCCGCGGAGCTGCCACGGCCGCGAGCACGAATGGAGCACAGAGCAGCGCTGTGGGTCCCGCCGGAGGTCGGCGGCGAGCGAGGGGGGGGAGTGGCCCCCAAAATAGCCCAAGAGGGCGCCAAGACGGGCCAAGAGGCGTCCAAGACTGTCCAAGAGGGCCCCAAGAGCGCCCCAAGAAGGCCCAAGAGGCCCCCAAGAAGGCCCCAAAACGGCCCAGGAGGGCGCCAAGACGGCCCAAGAGGCGCCAAGACGGCCCAAGACGGCCCCAGGACGGCCCCAAGAAGGCGCGGTCCTTCTCAGAAGGCTCGGAAGCCCCCCCGGCCTTCTGAGAAGCTGCCCGAGCCTTCCCCGGAGACACCGAGAGCTTCTCAGAAGGCGCGAGGGCGTCTGAGAAGTCCCGCCGCCTTCTGAGAAGGCCTTCTCCTCCTCACTTCTTATGTTGTTCCCATCGCACTTAAGGACCACATCCCGGAAATAATTTCAAGTACCCAGAAGAGTGTCAAAAGAGTGTCGAAACAGTGTCGAACGAGTGTCTCCCAGGGCCCGATGCGTGAAAACCCTCGAGTTTCGGCATTTCTGTGGTGCTCGAAATTCTGCCTGGCGGTCAAGGCGAAAAGTAGGTTGGAACATCATAACTCACTTCCCCCCCGTCGCTCGCCGCCAGAGAGGGGCTGCCGCACGTGTCGGGGGCGCTCTGCGCGTGCGTCGCGTGGAGCGCATGCGGGTGCTGCTCGAGGCAGGTCCTGGCCCCCCCGGGGGGGCTCCCGCTCCGCGCACCCCCGTGGGGGGCCCCCTGTGGGCCCTCGTGTTAAGTCGGGCCCGTCCCCCTACAGTGGGATCTTCGACGAAACATAAGGAATACCAAAAAATACACCAAAAAGGCCAAACAACATTCAAAACATAGTCCCCAGACTAAGTTTGGACTGTCTTTTCTTATTGTTGGGGTATCTTTGTGTTTCGTGGAAGATCCCCTGCAGGGGGACAGGCCCGACTTCACCCTCGTGGAGTGGGGTGGGGGGGGGTCTGCAGGCACGGCGCCGAAACGAGAGGCAGGGCGGGCTCGAGAGGGGCCCGCAGTTCCCCGGACCCCGCGGGCTCGCCGGGACCCCCCTTTCCAGCCTTGTGGGTGCCACCGTCGGTGGCTCTCCTGATGGGGCCTCCTCCTCCTGCTCCTCCTGCTCCTCCTGCTCCTCCTGCTCCTCCTGCTCCTCCTGCTCCTCCTCCTCCTCCTCCTCCTCCTCCTCCTCCTCCTCCTCCTCCTCCTCCTCGGAACGCATGCGGGCGCAGCCACTGGTGCCTCGGGTGGCGCTCCATATGAGGCCACGAAGCGGGTGAGGGGTGTGCCGAAATGGAGCGAGGCCGCCATGCGAACGTCGCCATCGGGGCCTTCGATGGAGCTCCCGTTGGGGCCACGAAGCGCGTGAGGGGTATGCCGAGATGGGCGGGGGAGCATGCGAACGTCGCCACTGCGGCCCTCGGTGGAGCTCCGCATGGGGGCACGAAACGCGTGAGGGGTGTGTTAAAACGAGCGGGGGGAGCGCATTTTGTCCCAGCCACTGGGGCCTTCGGTGGAGATCCCTATGGGGCCACGAAACGCCGTATTGGGTGGCGCGGGACGCATGTGGTCACAGCCACTGGGGCCTTCGGTGGATCTCCCGATGGGGACACGAAACGCCGCACTGTGTGACGCTGGACGCATGTGGTTAGAGCTACTGGAGCCTTCGGTGGAGCTCCCTATGGGGAAACGAAGCGTCGCACTGGGTGGCGCGGGACGCATGTGGTCACAGCCAATGGGGCATTCAGTAGAACTCCCTATGGGGCCACGAAGCGCCGTACTGGATGGCGCGGGACGCATGTGGTCACAGCCACTGAGGCCTTCGGTGGAGCTCTCTATAGTGCCACGAAGCGCCGTACTGGGTGGTGCGGGGCGCATGTGGTAACCTATGGGGCCACGGAGCGCCGTACTGGGTGGTGCGGGACGCATGTTACAGTCATTGGGGCCTTCGGTGGAGCTCCTTATAGGGCCACGAAGCGCCGTACTGGGTGGCGCGGGACGCATGTGGTCGCAGCTACCGGCCTTCGGTGGAACTCCCTATGGGGCTATGAAACGCCGTACTGGGTGCGCTGAAATGGTGGACACGCGGGGGGCAGAGGCAGGGATGGGAGGAGAGAGGAGAGAGAGGAGAGGGAGGAGGAGAAGGAGGAGGAGGAAGAGGAGGAGGAGGACGAGGAGGAGGAGAAGGAGGAGGAGAAGAAGAAGGAAAAGAAGGAAGAGGAGGAAGAATGCGGGGCGCTGTCCCTTCAATACGAGGATTAACACCTCAGGATGGGAAAAATGATGACGTCGGGGGTCCGGGTCGCACCATAAAAGAATTCAGCGTGCCTTATTTCAGCAGCCCGGCTGTATGGAAGCCGTGGCGGCCTCCCCATCAAAGTTGGGGCCATTCTCCCAGACCCCCGACGTCATGAGTTCCTCATGGCGTCGGCCCCCCTCGTTCCCCAGGGCCGGTGTTTCATCCTGAGCCGTGGTTTGACAGCCCCGAAGCCCCGTAAAGGGCCCCCAGGAAAAAGATAGCAGCACACAAAAAAAATGCGTTGTTCTCATGACTCGAGGGCGTCTGGGTTCTCAGCCAGGGCCACCTGCGGCAGCACCCGGCGCATGCGCCCTCTTCCTGCCCACGGCGCGGGGCGGCTTCCTGCTCTCGGGGCTGCGGCGAGGCACCCTGGCGTGCGAGCTGCTCGCTGTGGCCAGCGGCTTCACCGCCCAGTGGACGGCCGCCTGGCGCGGCCCGGGCTGCGCGGCCGGCTGGCGGGACTACTGCTCGCTCGTCGGCAGCGTCTTGCTGCTGACCTGGGGCGGCATGCTGCTGGGGCTCCGCGAGGCTCAGAGGAGGAGAAGGCACCGATACCGCCACCCGTCCCCGGTGTCTGTTGCCAGCTTGGGACCTCCTGGGATGCCATCGCCGCCATGGCTGGGCCCGCCTTGAAATCCTGGGCAGAACGCACCCAGGGAGAGGTCTGGGGAGCAGCGGTGTATCAGAGCCTGTTGGTTGTCCCCCGAGGCGACGGCGGGAGGCCAGGGGGCTGCCCACATCGCCCGCTGCTTCCTCTTCCTGGAGGGGCGCGGCGCGTGGCAGCCCGAGGGGTGCCCGAACCGGCCCTGCGGGGTCGTGGCGCTGCTGCTGCCGTGCTGGCTGCTCCACCCGCTGGTGCACGCGGCCCTCTTGGCCGCCGGGCGGGCCGCCGGCCTGTGGGGCCCGGCGTCGCTCGCGGGGCTGCTCTGGGCCGCGGGGGCAGCCCCTCTCGCGGCCCACGCCTGGCAGCTGTGGCCCGGCGCCTCGCGGGGCCTCCGCGCACTCGCGCGCCTCCGGGCGGCCCCGAGCCCAGGAGCAGAGCCGGCGAAGGCTGCCGAGCAGCTGGACGGGCGCGCACGGCGCCCTGGAAGGTGGGATGTTCTTGTGCATCCTGGATGTGTTTGTCCCCATCGCTCCTCACGCGGCGCTCCGTTCAGTCTGAACGAGGTCAGAAGATCAAGGTCGGTTCGGGGAGGGTGCCTTGACAGGTGGGATGTTCTTGTGCATCCTGGATGTGCTTGCCCCCATCGCTCCTCACGCAGCGCTGCGTTCAGTCTGAACGAGGTCAAAAGATCGAGGTCGGTTCGGGGAGGGTGCCCTGGAAGGTGGGATGTTCTTGTGCATCCTGGATGTGATTGTCCCCATCGCTCCTCACGCGGCGCTCCGTTCAGTCTGAACGAGGTCAGAAGATCGAGGTCGGTTCGGGGAGGGTGCCTTGGAAGGTCGGATGTTCTTGTGCATCCTGGATGTTCTTGTCCCCGTCGCTCCTCACGCGGCGTTCCGTGCAGTTGGAACGAGGTAAAAAGGTCGAGGTCGGTTCGGGGAGGGTGCCTTGGAAGGTTGGATGTTCTTGTACATCCTGGATGTTATTGTTCCCATCGCTTCTCACGCGGCGCTCCTTGCAGTCGGAACGAGGTCTACGATCGAGGTCGGTTCGGGGAGGGTGGCCTACAGTCGAGCATGTGATTAAGAAACCTCCTCCCGGGTGCGGGTCCACTGGGGCCTCCCGATCGTTGAGCGCGGTGTGACGGTAGCGTCTTGCGCGCCTGTGGTTGGTCCCCCCGCGGCCCCCATCAAGCCGCGCACCAAAGGTCACTCTTACTTAGGGTCATTCTTGCGTGTAGCCGACTTCCCCGGCAGTCGAGCATATGATTAAGAAGCCTCCTCCCGAAAAGCTGGGCCAGCGTTTCTCGACCAACTCGCCACAGAGCTGGCCCAGTTTCTTGAGCGCGTTCGCCCCTTCAGCTTTAAGACGAACACTGGCCCAGGTTTGGCTTGAGAAACTTCGCGAGAGCTGGCCCATGTTTCTTCAATGATGATTGTCTTGATCATATATGTTGCTGTAGTCTTCTTTGAGTCTGTTGGATGTTATTGCGCATCCTGGGCAGGGTACCCTGGAAGGTTCTGTATGTTTTGGCCGGCGGAGGGTCTCGTGTTCTTGCGGGATGCTCTTCTGGCCCAGGTCCGACTGCATTATTCAGAGAAGGAAAAGGTACCGACACCGCTACCCTTCCCTCGTGTTCCCATGTTTCGGGCCTCCTGGGAGGCCCTCATCGCCACCGCTGGATTCGCCTCGAGATTCTGGTCCGAACGCACCGCGGGAGAGGCCTGGGGAAGAGCAGTATCGACACCTATTGGTTTCCCCCCTTCTTTGTAGCACCACGATGGCCGTACTGTGGGGGCGTTCGTTGAGGAGTGTGCCGATGAGGCTCCAGACCATGGAGGATTCCTTACCTGATGCGGGCGGCGGCGATGTCCGCAGCCAATCCAAGCTCGGAGCTCCACCGGCTTCCACATCCTGAATGCCTCATCCAGCGTTTCCTTGTCCAATGCCCTCGCCTTGCCCAGTCCCCCGACGTCACGACTTCTTCGCAACGGCGACCCCCGAAAGTCTCGACCTCTTCCACGGGACCGCCTCTTCACCCTGAGGCATTTCATGACGGCCCCGAGGCCCGTCGAGGGCCCCCAGAGGCCGAACATCAGGGACAGAACGCCTCCCGTCGTGATCTCTTCCTGGCTCGAGGGGGGTCTGGGCACCGTGGCGGCGCGCACGGGCTCGGGGTCGCCCGGCCCTCTGCTGGCCTCTCTCGCTGCTGCCCGCCCACGTGCTCGGCGCGGCCGCGGCCGCGACGGCCGGGCTGCTCTGCGCCGCGCCGCCGCAGGTCACCACCCACCAAACCACCCCAACCCAACGCGAAGGCTCAGATTTGCACTCGATTTCTAGTGGGGCGGGGGGGGTCCGGGAACATCGAAAAGACACATGTGGAGCCCATACCCCCCCCCCACCCGAAATTCGGGTCTTCGGGTTGGGTTGGGGTGGTCTGGTAGGTAGTCAGCAGGGGCAGCGGCGGCCCTCGGGCGACGGCGGCGCCGCCAGCGACGCCGGCACGGAGAGCGGCAGCAGCAGCTCCGGCGGCGGCGCGGGCCTCATGGGTCGGGGCCCAAGGGACGGGGGTCAGTGCAAACGGGGGTCAGCCAGAGCGCCAGATCTTGCAGGATCCTGCAGGGCCAGGGTCGCACTGACCCGGGTTTGGGTGCAGGATCCTGCAGGATATTGCAGAACCCTTCGCATTGACCCGGGCTTGGGTGCAGGATCTTGTAGGATTCTGCAAGGCCTGACTGACCCGGGTCTGGATTGACCCGGGTCAGAAGATTCCCGAATGGGCCGCTACGGGCATGCATGGGCGCGCAGGGCAGGTGTCGACGGCACGTAGCCCAGACCCCCTCGCGCTGTGAGACAATCACGGCGGGAGGTGTTTCCCTATGTTCGGCCTCTCGGGGCCCTTCCTGGGCCTCGGGGCCGTCAAACAGCGACTCGAGATGAGGAACAGGTCCCGGGGAAGGGGCCCAGATCTCTCGGGGTCGACGTTGTCAAAAAAATCACGACGTCGAGGGTCTGGTAAGAGTGACCCTTCGCGGGAGTGACCTTTGGTGCGGGCCCAGTGGGGCCCCTCGACCACTGAACGCGATGCGACAGCAGTGGCTTGCGCGATCGGATGTTGCCCCCCCCCCCCCCCCGCGCGTCCCCAACGCCGCGCACCAGAGGTCGCTCTTGCCCAGCGTCCCTCTCGCGTGTAGCCGAAGGTGGTGGCAGGCGGGAGGATCTCTGGGCCTCCTCTCGGGGGTGGACAGACCTCCTACCCTGACACGTCGGTTAAGGAGGGCGTCGCGGCCGTCATTTTTGCGGGTCCAGGTCCGTCGGTTTCGGTCCCAGGCCGTTTTCACTGAGGGGAGGTCTGCTAAAGGGAGGTGTGTCCACCGCCGATCCTCCCGGCAAGCAGGGCGCACACGACGAGGCCAGCCCAGGCGTGTGCTGGGCATACGCGCGTGGCCCGACGCCTGCCCGGCGCCCGGCCCTGTTGTGGCCCTGCGCGCCGGGCTGCCGCGCGTGCGTCCAGCGCGGGGCCTCTGGGATGTCTCGCGCGTGGGTCCCCCAGCAGCGTGTGTGTGTGTGTGTGTGGTGTGTGTGTGTGTGTTTGTGTGTTTGTGTGTGTATGTGTTTGTGTATTTGTGTGTTTGTGTGTTTGTGTGTTTGTGTGTTTGTGTGTTTGTGTGTTTGTGTGTTTGTGTGTTTGTGTGTTTGTGTGTTTGTGTGTTTGTGTGTGTTGTGTGTTTGTGTGTTTGTGTGTTTGTGTGTTTGTGTGTTTGTGTGTTTGTGTGTTTGTGTGTTTGTGTGTTTGTGTGTTTGTGTGTTTGTGTGTTTGTGTGTTTGTGTGTTTGTGTGTTTGTGTGTTTGTGTGTTTGTGTGTTTGTGTGTTTGTGTGTTTGTGTGTTTGTGTGTTGTGTTTGTGTGTTTGTGTGTTTGTGTGTTTGTGTGTTTGTGTGTTTGTGTGTTTGTGTGTTTGTGTGTTTGTGTGTTGTGTGTGTTTGTGTGTTTGTGTGTTTGTGTGTTGTGTTTGTGTGTTTGTGTGTTTTGTGTGTTTGTGTTTGTGTGTTTGTGTGTTTGTGTGTTTATGTGTTTGTGTGTTTGTGTGTTTGTGTGTTTGTGTGTTTGTGTGTTTGTGTGTTTTGTGTGTTTTGTGTGTTTTGTGTGTTTTGTGTGTTTGTGTATTTGTGTGTTTGTGTGTTTGTGTGTTTGTGTGTTTGTGTGTTTGTGTGTTTGTGTGTTTGTGTGTTTGTGTGTTTGTGTGTTTGTGTGTTTTGTGTGTTTTGTGTGTTTTGTGTGTTT